CTCTCTCTCTCTCTCTCTCTCTCTCTCTCTCTCTCTCTCTCTCTCACACACACACACACACACACACACACACACACACACACACAGACAGGCACACACACACACACACACACACACACACACACACACACAGAGGCACGCACGCACGCACGCATCGGTCATGGCCTGAGATGGAGCTGTCCCAGTACAGGGCACAGTGGCCCAGGCCAGTGTTCCTCTGTGGTGCTAATTTTTCTTCACAGATGATCGAAAGGAAGTGGGCAGATGGCTAAGCCACTTCAGGAAGTCTGGATTCCAAGAGCACCTTTACTTATTATTATTTTTTTTAAACTTTCTCTTCTTCCTCTTTTTTTCAGGCAGGGTCTTGTTATGTGGCCAGGGCTGGTACAAACTGCTGATCTTCCTGCTTCAACCTCCTGAGTGCATGCCCAACCTTGACTCTGGCCCACCTGGGGATACTATTTTTCCTTGACTATCTGGCACCTTTGTAGAATCAACTCCCACCTCCCTGCAGCTCCTGGTTCAAAATCCTACCCCTGTCACTTTCCAGTTGAGTGACCCTATGCAAGTCAACCCCTCTCGGTGTTACACTGCCCCACTGAACAGAGCTGAAGAAAGTCAAAACAACCTACTCCAAAGGTTTCAGAGATGGTGAAATGGCTTCATGGATGCAAAGCACTCAGCACAGCCTCCCTCCCTGAAGTTTCCTCAGCCTCAGTGACGAGCTTGCTGGTAGAAATTTTAGGTAAAAACCCAATCCTGGAAATTCTGATTCCATAAAAAAGCCAAAGGAGGTCTTTTCTTGAGTCAATCTTGGTGACATAATTTCCAAGATCATTTTTTCATATTTTCCAATTTATCACATTCACTACTAAATCTTGTTTTATAATTCTAATTTTCCACCATCTGTTACTTCCTCTTTTAATGTGCTGGTTTTATCTTTATATTTTATTATTACTACTTCCACTTATTGATTATATTCTTTTCCAGATCACTAATGGAGTCTATATCTTTATTAAATTCCTTCTCCTTTCTTTAGTTTTGTTATTTTTTCCTTCTACTTTGAGACAGTCTCCTTATAGCCCCAGCTAGCCTGGAACTTGCTACATAGACCAGGGTGGTCTCCATCTCGCAGAGCTCTGCCTGCCTCTGCCTCCCGAGTGCTAGACTTAAAGACCTGCGCCACCATGCCTGGTTTTCTTCTACTTCTTGAATTCACAATGAATTTATTTTCATTATTTCTTTTTTAAAGTAATAACAGTGTTTAGGACTGTGTTTTTTCTTGTAAGGACTGATCCCCACCCCCCACCAATCCAATAGGATTGCTATATAAAATTCCTATTCTCATTAAAGTAAAAGAGTCTGAAATGAATTTATTTTTATATTTTATTATTTTTATTTTATGTGTCTGTGTGTATTGCCTGCATGTAGGTAAGTACACCTGTGTTGTGAAATGCCTGCGGAGGATAGAAGAGGCTGTCAGATCCCCTGGAACTGGAGTTTCGGACAGTTATTAGCTGCCATGTGGATGCTGGGATTTGAACCTGGGTCTTCTGCCAGAACAGCCAGTGTTCTTAACTGCTGAGCCATTTCTCCAGCCCCATGAATTTATTTTTTAAGTGAATAGTTATCAAATTTTAACTGAATGCCTTTTGAATTTCTAAGTAGAGCTTTTGTTTCTGCTTATTTTCAGTTCTGTTGCATTGTGCTCAGAGAATTTTCCACATTTTGAAATTTATGGCTGGTTTTTGTTGTGTTCTACATCTGCTCAATTTGTGACTGATCCAGGAATTCTGGGAAAGACACACACTCTGTTCACAGGGTATGGAGTTTGGCACATTTTCAGTAGCTCAGTTCGATAAATTACTGCATGCAGGGACAAACCTCTGTAATGGTGACCTGTGTTCAGGGTGGCTAGCTGGCAGCTGTGAGCAGACACTGCAGGTATTCATGGTAAGCAACACTGGGAAAACTGATGTTCTTCTCCTTTAATGCCTCCAGTGTCCCTGTGGCTCAGGAACTTGCTAAAATCTGAAGCTCAGCAGCAGCCCAGGATGCAAACAGAATAGTGGGAAGGCCACTGCATTGTCCATGAATTCCCAACCTCTGATGCCACCAGACTTAAGTCTCCTAGGTCCCAGCTCATTCTTGGCTATGGTTTGTCCACGAGTTCCCAACCTCTGATGCCACCAGACTTAAGTCTCCTAGGCCCCAGCTCATTCTTGGCTATGGTTTGCATGTCCTTTCTGAATTTAGTCACCATGTAATCAGTATTAAGATGTGGGACCTTTAAGAGGTGTAGGATCATGAGGGCTCTGGTACTGTGAAAGGATTAATGCCAGTTATCAATAGGAGTGGGTGGCCATGATAGGCATGCACTCCTGGTAAAAAGATGAGCTTAACATGTTTCTCTTTGTCTCACATGTGCTTTCCTATCTTCATGCTGTGTATGACCACCACAAAAATCCTTTGCCAGATGCTGGCACCTGTTTTACCTTTCCTAGTCTCCAGAACCATGAACCAAGTCTGTGGTATTCTGTTGTGGCAGTGAAGAGTGCACTAATTTTAATCGTCTTTATAGTTACACTGCACGGTGCCTTCTAGTGAACTCGGTGATAAGACTGCCAGTTCATCCAAGACTGGGAGCAAAGAGTTCACAGATGATTGAATCAAGTGTATAATTGACAGGAAATGAAGAAAAACCACATGCACGCCCCTTATGAGCACAGCTGATAGAGGGCAGGCCACAGTGTATTCACGATATAGTGGGCTTGTGCTAGGCCTCTTTCACTTGCTGCTCCAGCTGGGCCTGTGCTTCTCCCCATCTTGCCCTGTGGCCTGGGTGGCTGGTCTCAGTCTTCAGTCTTTACCACGTGAGGAGTTTTCTGTTGGGTTTGGCTGCAGGGCAGCATTTTCCTGGAGAAAGGGAAGAGTGAGGTTGGTATCACATCCTCTTGCCTAGTCCCTTTTCCCACACCTGTCTCTAGGTTCCACGCCTTGTAAACTGCTGTTCCGCCCATGACAGGGGTAGTGCCTACCCTAGTGCAGTGTGCTTCTGTTGTTTTCTTACTTCTAGCCCAAACCTTTGGAAGTTGTCTCTTATTATACTCTCTTAAATTACCCAATTTCGGTGCTCCATCTGTTCCTTCTGGACCCTAAGTCATATAGGGCTGGTAGAAAATTCAAGAATAATTGAGCCCTACTTTCTTATTTTTTGATTGAGAAGGTGACACACTAGAGGTCACAGGAAGTCATGGTTAGAACTTATCTAGGACCCTGGTGTCTTTGCCTGTATTCTTCCCTCTCCATTGTTAACTCTTTGGATTAAATTCTGTTACAGATATAGAACTAGTGTTGACTTAGAATCATGGAATAATATGAAAAATAATTCCAAGATTTGCCACCCCCTGTATTGGAATCAGGCCCAGTTAATCTGATCTTTTGAATCATTTTAGGAGAGTGGGAGGAGAAGTAGGCATATGTGTACTGTTTCTCATTTAGATGCAGCATTCTTTTTCCTTATCTGTATTTTCTACTTTTTAAGCTAAAAGTGACTGTAGTAAAGAAATAAGA